TTTATACATCTTACAGGTGCGTTTGTTTCTCTTCTTAACCCAAACTATGAAATATTGGAGATATTATTAGTAGACTCTTCGTCTTATACTACCGATAGCCGACATATAAAGGTGATGGTTGACTTCATTACCGACGTGACTCGGTCAAACTATACTGAATAGAAGACTTGCACGAGAAATATCGATCAAAAGTAGCTCAAATCAATCCAGGGCAGTTGTATATACCAGACTAAGAGGCAGACAATGCGGTGGTTTATGATACTACTCAGTTGCCGTAGCTGGAGTCGAGAAAGATATGAACCCTGAACCCATTGTTTGAGAGTAATTTACCCACTGAGTCATATAGTCCCAGAAAGATTAATTGGATAGCAAATGCAATCAAAATTCAAGTGAGTCTAATGATGTAAATGTAATCCTGACTGCAGACAGCTATTAACTAGTTGCTTTCATAGAATAACTATTCTGGTTAGCCGAAGCTGTGAAGAGGACTATGGTAGAGTCTTAAACTTTTAACGCAAGTATGGTATGTGCTTTGCACTATTAGAGTGCAAAGCACCCTTGCAATGTCGGCAGGAACCTGTGCCTGCCCTCACTCTTGGTAGTGAGCCGTTGGAAGTACTCGAAGAGTTCGTGTATCTGGGTAGTTGTGAGATTTCTAACCGCATATCGAAAGACAGAGTAACATACGTCAATTTGGGTCACTTTTGGTGCGGTCTCAACCTTAGTCTGACCGCAAAAAGTCGGGTTTATAATGCTTGTGTGAGAGCAGTTCGGCTCTACACCTGTGTAACCTGGCCTCTCCAAGCTGAGGATACGCAACTACTCTGTGTTCGATCGTCGTTGTCTCCGTAGGATTCCTTATATCAGGTGAAGACACCATGTTAGTAATTCTGAGGTACGACAGCGTGTGTTTGAGAATGATGGAGATCGTCATCCAATAAATGAAGTCATCTGGGAACACTGGCTTTCGTGGCTTGGACATGTGTTAGACATGTCATCCCAACGACTCCCACGCCGTTCATTATTTGGAGTGGAGAGGCGATCAGTGTGTGACGTGGAGCCGTGGGATGAAGGATAGTTGTATAGCGTGAACATCTGTTCGTGCATCACGACTCTCTGGGTGAGGTCCGAGAGATCGCATAACCCAGTGGCTTCAGGCGTTATCAGATATGGCTCAGAATCAAAACCGGTGGCGGTCATGCAGTAGCTTCCTTCCATCATCTGCTGCTGGAAAGTGATGAATGTTTCGTTTTGAATGAATCTTACTGGACTACCCTTCGAATCATTCTATTCTTATTGTGTTTTTCTTCTCACCTACTTCCCTCTGCTTCATCTCTTTATAATGTTGTCACATTAGTTTGTGTGGTGCATTTCTTGGTGTCTTTGTTTTACCAAGTTTGTGTTCTAATAATAATATTAGTAAGACTTTAACACTTCATCAAGGAAAATTCACTGGCCAAAACTGCTTCCTAAGGCTATATATTATACTGGTTTCCAAGCCAACCACAGAAGATTAAAGTTTGGTTTTTCACCTAACCAATTACGTGAATATTTACCGTTTCGTATTTGGTGTACATACACACAGTGTGAAATTGGAGGCATTCACACTTAGAAATTGTTCAAACATACTCAAATCACGCACAGTTGTCTTCATTTACACTATCAACAAATGATGAAGCATGTCATCAAATCTGAAACTTATAGTATAATTACAAGCACATACGTTCTGATTCTAGATTTTAATCTACCTACGGTTAACTTTGCAGGTCGTATTTTTAGCAGGAGGGACGATTCCATTGAACCCTGATTCTTCAACTTGATTGAGGGATTGGGATTTACAGAGAATGTGAGATCAGTAACACGATGCAGGAGAACCCTAACTGCAGCCCCCCTTAGACTCCATATTAACAAATGAAGAACTTTTCGTTGAGAGCTTAGCAATCCTCCCTGCATTAGGCAATATTGACCACGTTGTTATCAACTTCCAGTATGTCTGTAAAATTAAACAAACCCAACCTTTCAACGAATGTCGTTGGAACTTCAGACAACTGAAAACTTCAGATTTCGGACGGTACTGGAATAGACAAATTGACAAGATGACTATGTATGGGAGGATTATAACACACACTGAAGATTCAAACTTGGCAAAATAATACATGCCATTAGCCAGTCTGTCCCACTTTCAACTCCAAAGTGCTGCAAGTCACCTAAGACAATAACCAACTCACTCGTAAACCACTTAGGAGACAGCACTGGGCCGAACACAGGAGTCGTAATTAACAAACATACAGACTATTTAAACAGACAAGAAATATATGCACGAAGGTACTGGAAGCCCATCGGCAACCGTATCATGTTTCTGACTCCAGAAGTTTGTTCCACTATGCTGCATCGTCCCAATAGGCTAAAGCAGGAGTCTCTCAACTATTAAGACACAATGGGCTGACTAGTAGCGACACTAAAAATATTGAACACTGAGCTGATCAATACTGCCAAAGCTTTTCATCATAGGATACCTACTTGCAAGTTTACAAATATCCTACCGCTAACGTAGGGCTCTCGCGCGTTGACCTATGCGTTGAGATAGTATAGTCCAAACTCCTACTTCTCACAAAAGACACCTTTGCGGGACCGAACAAAATCCAAGCAGCAGTTTCGCCAAAAGGAGCATCAATCTTCACCGAACCTTAAAGTAAGTTATTTACGGATTCTCTAAGTCAAGGGACAGTGCCCAACCTTGGGAAGTTGGGTCACATAATGCCGATCTTCCTAGGATGCCAACGAACCAACCCGAAGAAATGCAAACCGGTAACGCTCTTATCTGCATCCTCCACAGTAACGGAGTCGTTAATTTATGATGGACTGAGGGATCATCTTATGATGATTAACTTATTTACGCACAAGCAAAGCGGATTTAGAAAAGGGTACTACTGCATTACTTGCTCACCGCAGTAGACAGATGGACTACAACTGTCGACCATTCAGGCAGAATTACTATTACCTATCTAAACTTTACAAAGCGTTTGACGTGTCAATCACGACTGCCTTATCCATAAACTAAAATTAACTGGGATCAAACCACCGCTCATTTACTAGTTGCAGTCGTTCCTACGTAAATTCTAGTTTTGAGTTCGAGAAAGTCTTACCATTTCTAAAAAGATAGGATATCCTGGTGAATTTACCTACGGTTGGCTACTACAACCTTTTCTTTTTCTGATATGTACATAAACTTAACTAAACAGGTTTCTTCTGAAATCCTTCTTTTTGCCGATGATGTGAAACTATGGAGAGTAATCAGGAAAATAGTGTCTCCCTACAGGAAGACAACCCAACTTCAAAACTGGACGATCAATAATGGGCTTGTATATAACCTTTAAAATGAAAGGCTGTACGTCTAAGATATGATGCATGTCATGTATGTAGTCTTAATAGCATGGAACTTAGGAGTCACAGATGGAGAAGGATTTGGGCGTTTTAGCCCATCAAAACTTAAAATGCCAAGCCAAGTGTGACAGAAATATATTTTGAAGAAACTTGGCGTTAGTAACTCTGACGAATTATTTTGGATAATTCGACCGTAGATGATTTAACCAAATTCTCGACAGCTTCATACGGAATATAAACCTGACCGATAGTTGCTACCTTGACGTAGTGGTCAGGCTTGCATATCACCATCACCCAACCAGCTATCCTAGTGGAACGCCCAGTCCCTCGAGGTCCTACCATGCTGCGAAGGTCTGTTGGATAGTGGTAAGACTAAAAGCAGTTACCGTTGTGGTGTAAATTAGTACACTACGATGGGAGTCTGAGGGCGAAGTCGTGCTGCTGCTGGCTGGATAGGGTGTGACAGCAGTAAGGTGTTTCCCTTATCAGCGGTGTCACGCTGGTGCCGCCTTCTTAGTGGAAGGAGGGTTAGAAAAGGCCTACCCCGAAAATAACACACTCTATCATACCCCACGGTCTCCCGGTGCTGGCGGTATGGGTTTTCTGTCTATCCGCCATTCGAAGAAACAAAACTCAAAACAACAACCGCAAAGGGCTGTGACAGGCCTCAACCAGGTGTCCCTTGGGCTTTGTGGTCACACAGATTTTTTTCTTTTTCAAGCACCTCAAGAAGAAATAGCCTTTCACAGTTCGGGCAGCCAGGAAGTGTCAAACACTCCGCACGCTTCCAGTAGTACACAAGACCCAATCAAACATAACTTGTCCTCCTCAACTCTATCTCTCCTTTGCTTTCACCTTCTGATACTAATATTAACTAAGTCTAGAATATCCCACGTTAGATATCAGGCAGAACTAATCCCTAACAGTTTTAAACCCTGGAACGCTTTCCTGCAGAAATGGTTCAGGCTAATTTGTCTGAGTCTTTTAAACCCCAACTTAAAATATGGCTAAGAGATCGATCAGAAATAACTTGCTGCTCATTTCTTTCTTTTTATTTATACACAGGTTAACAACCACAAGAACTAGTGATTCATTGCTTCTAGCCAAATAGGTGAAAGCTTTTATTCCTTCGACAGCCATTTGAAAAAGGATATTCAGAAATTGAAAAAGTAGTTTTTATTTCAATATCAACGGTGAAACGATTTCACGGTAAGTTATGTAGGAATAATGAGTACAAATTCAGTCATGAAATTCTCACCAGGCTATTCTGAAACTATGATAGATTACTTCCTTCAAATAAAATTTTCCCAGTATTATCCCTTATTACCTAAAACTATTAGAATAGAAATATTAAATAAGAGATGCCCAATTTTATACTCACCTATTAGTACGATACATTTGGTCCCTTAGACAAGGACTAAGTACTCCTGAAGATTTGTAGATTAGTACTAGTGAAGCCTAAAACAACTCAAGCGATTTGATTTATTCAAATAAATAACTCAGGAAGTAATAAATTAGACCAGATATGTGGAGAATATGAAATAAGACTAAACACGTAGGTGAACAAATCAGTTAACAGTTCATCAGTCTATTAAATATTATACTTTGAGTTGCCACTAAGCAAAGTTTCTTGATTCGCCAGGAGGAAGCTGGAAGTGTTCTTGTGCTTTATCAGCAAGAACACGACCAATAGCTAACGAAGCTGTAGCAGCCGGAGACGGTGCATTGCGTACGTGCATAACCCTTTTCCCGATTGTACTATCACCAAAATGAATGATGAAGTCGTCCACCAAGCTTCCACTAGGATCAACTGCTTGAGCTCTTATACCTGATGGGCCTCTCACAACGTCTTCAACTTTTAAACTAGGTACATACATTTGCAGTTGTTTTATCTGACGCCCAATAAATAATCCACCCAATACTTCACTGATACCGAATTTCAAATAACGAAAAGCAAGTTTTCGGAAACCAGAATAAAAAAGAGCATCACATGAGTCCTTGAAATTAAAACTGAACCTGCCATAACCCTCCCGATCGAGCGATAAAATTGCATTTGGTCCAAGCCAAATGGAACCATTCATACGTGGAGTAAAATGAACACCAAGAAATGGAAAGCGTGGATCCGGAACAGGATATATATTTCCTCTGACTAAAGAAGACTTCTCAGGTTTCAACACCAAGTAATCACCTCGGAACGGCATTATTGCAGGATGTGGAGAACAGCCAGTTTTCTGAGAGATGCGATCAGACTGTAAACCTGCACAAGTTATAACATATTTGCATGTGATCTCTGAGACATGACTATTAGAACTTTCCGACCTGTTAAGAATATTCCTGATAAGAACTGGATAATCCACATTTTCAGTACATTCAGAAATTTCACTCGCGTTGAAAGACTTATACACAGTCCCCCCAGAAGAGACAAAATTCTTTGCATAAGATAAAGACACCATTCTCCAGTCAACTATTCCAGTTTCAGGAGAATGAATGGCTTTTAGCCCAACACAATTCGGTTCAATATCTTTGATTTGATCACCTGAGATTATTGAGACGTTTGGTACATTGTTTTTTGAGAGCGACTATAAAGTTCATCTAAACGGGGAATTTCTGAATCTTTGACTGCAACGATTAATTTCCCACACTTCTTGTAAGGTACTTCGTTAGCATCTAAATATTCGTACGACTTCTTTAAACCTTCCACGCACAGCTTTGCTTTCAAAGAACCCGGAGCATAGTATATTCCAGCATGAATTACTCCACTGTTGTGACCAGACTGATGCATACTTAATTCACTTTCTTTCTCTAACACAGCGAATCTGAATTTCGGATAACGAAGAATTAGTTCACGTGCAGTAGCCAGACCTACAATCCCACCACCAACAATGGCTATATCATAAGCAGGTGGCTTAGTAGAAGCATGTCGAATGACTAAGGAAAACCATACGTAATCGGAACTCTTCAACGCAGCTGACAACATACTTCATAATAGACGAACCGGATAGGGCGCCAGTCGCTGACCTTAGTTATGAATTTCCGCATGTGAGATAGTATTAACTTTCGTAGATCTGATTGGTCAAGGTGAAGTGTGGCTAAAAGTCATCCCCTGGCATGTTACATGTTATCGCGTTGAACGTGAATAATACGTGTTTTCCGTTTGCCGAAAATATATTTTACTTGTTTCCGCACTTCTGAAATGCCGTTAATCGTTTTACAGTGCTTACATGGTCTACTGACGTTAAAAATACTTTCAAACTTCAAACTTCGTGTTCTATAGAATTAGTGAACTGCGGTTCCTTGGGTTCTACGTCTGTCTTATTGGAATACGTTCTCAGTTTGGAATGGTCACAACTATCTTTCCGGTTCTGAAAAACCTGAAAGGATAGGGACACGATTAATTAATTAATCTGGTCTCAAGGCAGTAATACAGCATCTGATCTGGGGAAAGCTTTCGAGCATAGCCCACCGGTACCGTAGGACTCGGGATGTGTGTCTAGCCTCCTTTTAAGTATCAGGCAATGGGGCTGTAACAACTGCTGAAGGGAGGGAATTCCACAGTTTACAGACTCTAACTGCAAATAAGTTAGCACGGATCTTTGTACGTGCTCTCTCATGCTCTTTCTTAACAGGTGACCCCTCAAGTCGCGTTTCCGACTAAAGCTTAGAATGATCTGTTACGATGGGGGGGGATTGAGGCAATGTGGTAAATCACGATCTTATCCCCTGTGATCCTCCGGTATTGTACTGGGTGTGGCTGAAGAGTAACTGAGCGGTCTGGGTACGGTTTGTGCCGTAACCCAATCACTTTCTTTGTAGCTCTTCTCTGTACCCGTTCTAGGATGGCTATGTCCTTTTTTAAGCAAGGGGACACCACTAGCAAATGTTTTTCTAGATGAGGGCGAATGTACAGAGCACATACTGTGGTGAAAAGAGGAGTTAGATACCCTAAAGTTGCGAGAGAAACCCAGAATTCTGTACTGGACGTCTTCGGTAGAAAAATGCTGGGTTTATTTGTGAAGAATGATGCTCGCAGATTAAAGCAAGGTGATTGGCCTTCAAGTTATTAAAAGGGAGAATTATTATTACACTTTTCAGTTCAGTCAATTTGTAATAAGCCGCAAGTTAAATCGTGAAGAAAATCGAAGGATAATCCCACCTAATAGCTAAAATGGATAGTGCAAGCATAGAAAATTGATAGTTTCTGATCTCTCGTATACACTTCTTAGGGTTTGGTTCCAGCTGTTCGGTTTGCTCCGACAGTGGACAACGAAATTTCTCCAACTTTTTGCTTTTAACTTCGGTGAGGCGGATGTCTTATGGGATAGTTAATTGCAAATTGTAGAGTGTCTCTGGAGCTACGGGTTACTGAGACGATTAGGGAACTTTCGTGACTTCTTTCTGCGCAGATGCCTGAGTAGAAATAGCAAGCCAGTGAGAAAATGTATGTGGGAACTACCCGAAAGTTAAAAATAGATGGCATAGGTCTAGTTGCTAGAGAAAAGTTAGCAGATAATGCAGGCGTATTAGGGAGAGGGTAGTGAGTGGTAGGTAGAAGTTTGGTGAGTGAGCTAGTGAGCTTAGCAACTCCCTGAGTACGTCTAAGGTAAACCATGCGAAATGACACATCTGTCTAGCTATCTTTAGTATGGGCCTTTTGAGAGGGCTGTGACTACATCCCGCGGTAGGGCATTCTACAAAGCACATACACTGAAGAAGAAGTTGGACGTGAGAGTGGTCTTAGCTCTCTGATGTTCTATCCTAACTGAGTTTTCTCGTGGTGACCTCTATGTTGCAGCCGAGGCTAATTTGTGTATGTGGTCTAACGGCATGCGAAGTAGCCAGTACCGGTCATAGAACCGACTGTCATCACTCCACAAAGATAAGGTGGGGCTCCTTAATAGATCTGTAATCTTCCACGGGGTGGAAGGAAGTAGAGACACACAGCCACGTACGAGTCACAAGCATGACCTTGGCAAGGTACAAAGTTTGACAAACTAGCTTTTACCTGGAAACATGCCAGGAGCCGCCCTACTCACGATATACAGAGTGGGCAAACGGGAGACACCCATTACTGAAAATAAGTTTCAGTTACTTAAAGTCGTTCTCACGTCAACAGGTGAAAAGGATCAGATGCTGAAGAATGCTCACAGACTTCAAGGATGTGGAGTGTTCGTGCTTTGGGATTTGGCTCTTCCTGATCGAGCCAAAAAACGAGAAGCAGGAGTGGAACTAAAATCCAGATTAGCAGCAGGAGGGTAAGATCTGAAAATGATGGCTTTTCGTGTGATGAGATTTCGGTAACAAATGATGCTGAAGCCTCCATCGATAGGGTGGAAACCCATCTAAGTATTTTCATCGTCTTGTGCACAAATGCGCGTAGTCTTTTAAATAAGCGGACTGAGCTTAGTGATGTGATAAGTAACGAAAGTTCTGATATTACTGCTATCTCTGAAACTTGGCTGTCTTCTTGGATTGGCCACTGTGGGACACACGACGATTCGTCCATTTTAGAAGTGATAGGTTGGCACGCAAAGGTGGTGGTGTCATCCTTTACCATATTTATCATTATTATATTTGTACCCTAGGTTCCCAGTGGAACATAAGGCTTCATTAGCACATCTTCACTACACTCTCTTCTCTTCTTTACGTTAAGAGTAACTCAACTGTGAAAGCCATAGAGGCGGTTGCACATGAAAGTTGGACATGTGAAATGCTGCACTGCCGACTGAAGTGCAAGGGCCAAGATATTGACGTAATCGTGATGTATCCATACCCTGAATTTGAGGCAGAGTGCTTCCTCCCGAGTAAGCTGACTCCCTGGACAGATGAATGCCGATGCCTAGCTGTAGGAGACTTCAAAGTATCATCAGCTGACCGCGACAGACTAACAACAAAAGCATCGAGTAGCTCGTTTGACCACAGGCTAGTGGAAATATCAATTTCCTTCCCCTCATACAACATATCACGACGGCAATCGGATATGATCATCAACATGCTCCATCAGTTCTAGACCTAGTATTCTCACATACAGATGATGTATGCTTCGTCCGGCAACTGGCACCCCCTGACAAAAGTGACCACTTTATGGTCATCTTCAAATTCACGGCAGGCTTCTTGTACCATGCCGATGCCCCAGCTAGACCCAGTATATGGGAAGCAAACATGGAAGCTATTAACCTGGCAACCTCTTCGGAGGACTGGACAGTCAATCCACAAGCCTCAATCGAAGCCGCATGGTTCTCCTTCAAACAGCTATATGAATGAGTGACACAACCACTCATTCCGTGGAATCTTTTATGGAGACGGAAACACTCTCCTTCGAGGACAAACCACGAAGTACGAGTCTTGCCACGACGCGAGGAAAAGTGTTAGTCTTGCTACCCACCCCGGTACTCCCGAAGTGACGAAGCACTACAAAGAAGCCCGAAATAGATGTATCGCTGCTATCCGCCGGTCTCTAATACACTCTGAAACACGCCTTGCCCAGGTCGCATTGCAACATCCAAAAGGGTCATTTTCTCATATTAACTATAGAAATAAGATGTGTCATGGCTTACCCGCCTCATTCAAATAGATAGAAGCTTACTGTTTGGTTGAGGACGATAGGGAAAAGGCAGAAGCTATGGCTGGATGTTTTGCTGAGGTCTTCACGCAGCACTATTCTCCGGATGCTTATTCAACAGTAGAAGCATTGACATCCAACAGAATAGACTCTGTGGATACCAATCGCAATAATGTACTTCGGGTGTTAAGTACTCTGGCTGTGGAAACATCAGTGGGACTGTGAGCTGCACTCAGGGCTGATTAGAGAACTTGGACTCTATGTAGCCGGCCCATTGACCGTTATGTTCAGGCTCTCTCAGTGAAGGTGAACTCCCCTATGACCGTAAGGGTGTTATGGTAACACCTATCTACAAGGCAGGTTCTAGGCAGCGCCCATCAAATCACAGACCGATAAGCTTGACTAGTACTGTGGTAGAAATCCTAGAAAGAGTAATCAAGAAGGCCATCACAGTCCACTTAGAGAGCGACTCTCTATCGTCTCGTTCGCAGCATGGCTTTCGCAGAAGCTTATATTGCCTGGTGAACCTGGGTTGAGTCTAAAGATGACAGGATACCTGTAGATGTCATTCTCATAGACTAGTAAGGGATTCGACAAGGTACCTCATTCCAGGTTGCTTGGGAAACTGGAAAGTTTTGTAACCGCTGGCAGTCTGCTTGGGGGGATAAGAGAGTTCTTGATTGGTAGGAGACAGAGAGTAAGGATCAAGTCTCTTCTCTCTTACTGGAGGCTGGTAGAGAGTTGAGTGCCGCGAGGCACAGTATTGGTTCCCCTGCTGTTTCCCCTATAAGTAAATGGGCTGCTAAATGTCATGAAATCTTTCGTGGTTTTTTACTCTGGTGATGTAAAAATCTGGAGGGAATTCGGGGACGATGAGGATGTACGTGCATTTCAGGCAGACCTAAGCCGTTTACTTGCGCGGTCAGAGAGGTGGCTGATGTTTATCAACCCGGCTAAATGCGTGAGCATGCACATGGGGCACACATATGGGTCTCCTCTACCGTCAGCACTGACCCACAATGACCTAGAAGTCACAGTGAGAAATGACCCGAAAACCGCGGAACGCCGCCGACTGGTGGCAACATGGAGTTTTGGGACGCTTTGAGCATTAAGTAGAACGTCTGCGAAAATAAGTAGTGATGGGTTCACCATCTTACACACACCCTTCTCTTTTCCCTCTCAGTAGGTCGAGACCCCTCAGAGGACGTGGTGGGGGCCACAAAAACAAAGAACAAGCACAGTCTCCGCAGAGTACTGGTTCTCGCATTAAGTAATCAACGCCTGGAACCGACTCCCAGAAGAAGCAGTGTCCGCACCATCAATTGACCCGTTCAAAAGGGGACTGGACAGGCACGGAAACCTACTGGCCAAGGACTGATGTGTGCTCACAGCCTCCTGTCCTCAAACAAGAAGTCTGA